AATGTGGCAAACAGAAAAGTTTTTGAACCGCAAAGCATGCTGAAAATCTGGACTTTATAAGATTTTACATAAAAACTATAAATGAGCGGCGTCACGACAAAACCAACACAGTAGATTTGCGACCAGCATGGATCCAGACCAGCCTGGGCATCCGCGCAGTCTGATCAGGATCCATGCTGTTCGGTTTCAAACACTATTACAAGTAGAGTAACTGATAGCGAACAGCATGGATCCTGATCAGACTGCGCGGATGTGCAGGCTGGTCTGGATCCATGCTGGTCGCAAACCCATTATGTTGGTTTTGTCGTAAAAACTATTAATATAAAATGGTTAATATTCCAAAAACTTCAATGCTGTGAAGGAATGAATTTAATTTAAGTGAATTTAAAAGATTTGGGAACTAAAGTAAAACCTGTATAATATTATAGAATGTAATGCCCCCCATCCCCACCTTATGGGGAGGGTGGGGTGTATATAGAGTTGCCTTTCTCTGTCCTTCAGCTGTCATGCGGTCAGTTCATTAAATGTCAAAACAGCAGAATTTGGGGTCATCTGAGTTATATATACACATTTCTAGTTTACAAGTTATATAACCAAGTATGAATAGATGTATAACCGCAGTTGCAAAGCATATAATGTCTAACACATTTTATATACTATCCAATTATTGCTTTCTAAAAAGTTGTGTTAGCTGTATATAAAGATAAAATAAAGAAATGTCTTTTTTGTCAAAATAAAAATCTATGCAATTTGAAAATTGTATTTATGATTTAATAAAGCATTTGTCATAATTATAATGACTGAAATTGAATAAAAAGCCCTTTAAATTATGAAGGTTCTAAATGAAAGGGGAAAGATGATAATCCTCTAGTTATTTGCAGTTGCTACAAGAGTCACTTTAAAAAAAAAAAGTGACAAATAAAAAAGTGACAAATGAAATACTGGAAAATCTATGTCTTTTGACCACTTGGAATATCAAAAGTAACTTTGTTATTTACTTTATCTGAAGAGTTTCTTTTCAGTATATTTTCTTCCTTTATATACATTTTCTTGATTGATAAGCAAAACTCAATTAAAGCATTTCCCATAGCAATCAAATCATTTCACTTGTATTATTTTCAGTAATTGATTCAAGCTTCAGGGGAAAGAAGAGTAAAGCAGGAAAGAAAAACAATTTTTCCCCGTGTCTTTTTGTAATTGTTGCATGCTACAGAACAAAGTGGTTTCCACAGAAATTTCATACAGGGCCCAATTCTACAGCTTATTAGTAATTTTGTATACGTTCTATTCATGGAGGAGCCAATTACGCTGCCTTCCTAACTTCAATTTCTCCAGTAATTGACTTCTTATTCTTTTTGGCAATTTGATGCAAGACGTTATAATTGACTTGTTAATTCGAAACACAGCTGCCAGAAATAAAGTTAGGATGTCTACTGTTTCCCCTTTTTCTTCAATTACAAGAACATGAAAATCATTCCCGGCCGAAGCCCACCAGTGGATAGTTTTCTAGATATTGCATGGAAAATATTCTTTGGAATTTAACGTTAAATTACCAATTTAAAATAGCGTATTACATCACAATTTTGTAATTATTAGCAACAAAAAAAACCAGTGTAACATGGATTAAATCTAATTGGAAATTTTGTAAGTTTTTCTTCCTCATTAGTAACTTTCTTAATTGTTTGTCAATTCACCAAAACTAGAAAGAATTCAATGTAGTAATGTTGTTTATCTTTACTAATAACCAGTATGTGATTTTTTGTGTCGCCTCTACGGAGTAGTGGCGACATATAGGGATCACTTCTCCGTCGTCTGTCTGTCCGTCTGTCCGTCTGTCCGTCTGTCTGTCTGTCTGTCTGTCCGTCTGTCCGTCCGTCCGTCACAAAACTTGTCCGGACTACTCCTCATAAACTACTGGTGCAATTTCATCCAAACTTTACAGGAATGATCAGTACCAAGTCTAGTTGTGCATATTGTCAGGATTTTCCGGTTCAATGATTTTTGTCAGAGTTATGGCCCTTTAATAATCTTTAATTTTAAAGTTTGTCCGGACTACTTCTCTTATACCACTAATGCAATTTCAATGAAACTTTACAGGATTGATCTGTAGCTCAAGTCCTTGCGCATATTGCACGGGTTTTCCGGTTGAATGATTTTTGGCCGAGTTATGGCCCTTTGATAAAAAGGTTTCTTTTTCTGTGTGTTGCCAGATACACAAAAGCTTGTCCGGACTACTCCTCATAAACTACTGGTGCAATTTCATCCAAACTTTACAGGAATGATCAGTACCAAGTCTAGTTGTGCATATTGTCAGCATTTTCCGGTTCAATGATTTTTGTTTGAGTTATGGCCCTTTAATAATTTTTATTTTTTAAAGTTTGTCCAGACTACTTTTCTTATACCACTTATGCAATTTCAATGAAACTTTACAGGATTGATCTGTAGCTCAAGTACTTGTGCATATTTCACGAGTTTTCCGGTTGAATGATTTTGGCAGAGTTATGGTCCTTGGATAAAAAGGTGTTTTTTTCTGTGTGTTGCCAGATACGCAAAAGCTTGTCCGGACTACTCCTCATAAACTACTGGTGCAATTTTATCCAAACTTTACAGGAATGATCAGTACAAAGTGGTTAGTCTAGTTGTGCACTGTCCGTCTGTCTGTCCGTCTGTCACAAAATTTGTCCCAACATGAAATTGGCCATCATGAGGCGACACATGTGATTACTGATCGCTCTTGTAATAAGTTAGAGGTAATTTATCATGGTAAGATGTTATGACGTGTGTTTAATTGTTCCAGCATGATGAGATGTTAATGATATCTGTGAAGCAGATAGAATAAAAACAACAACAACAATTTTAAATGATGTGTGAAATGGTATCTTAGCATCCAGTTATCATACACAGATTGTGTTCTGTTATAACTTGTTATTTTTTTAAAGAGGAATTTCAAAAACGTTACAGAAGTCACGAGTGATTATAGTTTAATATTGTTTGCTCATCTATAAATCTATGTTTATTTACTTTTTTTGGAGAGTCTTGAAAATTCGACTTTCTTTTATTATTTAGTATCATTTAGTTTTACAATAATAAAATTTCTATAAGATTAACAACAGGCTGGTTTGATTTGAAGTGTCTTTATTTTGTCACTTCTCATGATGGAGTGTCAGGGGAAGTAACTAGGGGATGACAAGTTACATATCACTGATTTCATCGGAGAATGTCATAGTCACTTCGTCACACAAACATCAAACAATCAAAGGGTCTCTCTGTTAACTAATTTATTAGTTGTAATCAAGCTGTGTAGTTGCACATACAGGATTTATTACAGGTGACTGAACGTGAAGAATCAAATCTTTAAAATTGACGTTTCTTAACTTAAATTTTACCATTTCCTGTTAATTGTTAAATTCTCCTTAAGACGGTGCTTTAAGGGGGCATATAATTTATAGACAATAGCTTGCACTTTCCAGTAATGTCCACGAACGAGCTGAAACAAACCGAGTCTGCAGCATTTTCAAGTTCATTAGGGATTCCTTTTTTTCTATTTTAGTAAACATGATATTGATTTTCTTGCTATTTATTTAACTCAAGATAACTAAAAATAAATGACCCCTTATTATAATTTACTTGGACCCTTAACATGTCTTTACCAAATACAGAGAAAAGATAGCCAATTATGTGTACGTTTATTGAGAACTTCTAGACAGAGAACTGAAGTTATAAGGGTTTTCAAACAAGTTTTTGATGTTTTGAAATTAATAGTTTAATAGACTTCATGAAGAGAATCCAAGTCTTTGATATTATTATCTTCTCTATAGTAATTATTTGAAATTGAATCTGACAAAAATACACCACTTTCAAACAGTACACATTTCTCTAGAATCCAAGTATTGCAAGAATATGCCTACCTTTTAAATGCATAAGTGATTTTCTGTCTGATAGAGAAAGATTTCTTTAATTTTTGCCTATTACTGTTGAAACAGATTTTATAAATAGTGTATAATACAATATTTCTTTTGTGGTTGTGCATTAAGCTTTGTTACAGTAATATGGTCTAGAACTTCCAAACTTTATAGAAGAAAATAAAAATACTCCTGAACTCGGCAAATAAGGGTTCTTGATCCCACTCAATCCTTGGGTACAATCAAACTCACAGATAGTACATGTATAAATATATATATATAGATAGTAAGTGTAACACATTGATCAGTCTATTGTGTATGGTAGTGCACCATGAAGCTGTTTTGGTCAAAATTTGTAGCACAGGATTAGATCTGGTTGGGGTGGGGGTGACCGCATTTGGCGAATTAGTGAATTATCTATTTTGCTGGTTACAATTGACACAGATTTGTATGTAAAATAGTGTATAGACAACCTTATATATTGAAATATGTATTTAATTATAAATCAGTATGTTTTACAACATGCTTCAATTTGTTTGTCATAATTATTTCTTTTATAAAAGAAATGAAATATAATGCATGTATTCAGCTAAAATATGCAAAAAAAATAGTTGGGTTATCTCACTGGTGTTCATTTTAGCTTGAAACTTACTTGAAGTTTTACAAGCTATTTTACCTTACCAACAGTGTTAAGTTATAATTTCACACACGTTTTCAGGTAGGCCCATAACTTGAGCATTTTGATGAATAGGTAAATAAATTATGCATTAGTTTAAGGTTTCTGTGCTGCAAATTTGATTGTTTGATACACTTTACAATACATCCAACTGCAGTTTATTATTCTTAATTGCAGCAAAGAAATATGCACACAAAAAAACACCCAAAATCTTAGAAATGCAGGGAGAGAAATGCCGTGACTGCGCAGTGTTTTATTGGTTTACAAGTGTTATATTATTTCTTTATAACACTTAGATATAGAATAATTATAACAGTGATTCTCTCATTGACTTATAGTTTGTGACATTTTAAGAATGTCATATCATGAAGTACTACAAAGTTATACCATAGATGTTAAATATATTATTGTTATATTTTCAGGTGCAATGCAGATTTCCCAGGAGCCAACTGGGATGGCGAACAATCAGAAACAACAGGAATGTTCGGGTTGTAAGAAAAGTATAATAGATCGATACTTGTTGAAGGCGTTAGACCAGTACTGGCATGAGGACTGTTTAAAATGTTCGTGTTGTGATTGTAGGCTGGGAGAGGTCGGGTCAACATTGTTTGCTAAAGCAAATTTACTTCTCTGTCGCAGAGATTATCTCAGGTTTGTCATTTGAATATAATTACCAGTACTGGCCTAGATTTACATTTGTATATTATTACTGCAGTGAATTGGCCTGTACAAGCTATTAAAGCAACTAAACATATAAAGCAAAGTTGTGTTACCAGCATACATCATAACTGTTCAACTTCACTAAACAGCTTGTTAATGTTAACAGCAACCAACCAAACTCGGATTGTTACCATAAAAGTGACTTATTCCAGTCATTGTACCATTAAACCTTTACATAGCCCAGTAATGTTACCAATTTACAGCATAGGCCAGTTATGTTACCAATTTACAGCATAGGCCAGTTATGTTACCAATTTACAGCATAGGCCAGTTATGTTACCACTTTATAGCATAGGCCAGTTATGTTACCACTTTACAGCATAGGCCAGTTATGTTACCACTTTACAGCATAGGCCAGTTATGTTACCACTTTACAGCATAGGCCAGTTATGTTACCACTTTATAGCATAGGCCAGTTATGTTACCACTTTACAGCATAGACCAGTTATGTTACCACTTTACAGCATAGACCAGTTATGTTACCACTTTACAGCATAGACCAGTTATGTTACCACTTTACAGCATAGCCCAGTTATGTTACCACTTTACAGCATAGACCTCTTATGTTTACCACTTTACAGCATAGCCCAGTTATGTTACCACTTTACAGCATAGACCTGTTTATGTTACCACTTTATAGCATAGGCCAGTTATGTTACCACTTTATAGCATAGGCCAGTTATGTTACCACTTTATAGCATAGGCCAGTTATGTTACCACTTTACAGCATAGACCTGTTATGTTACCACTTTGCAGCATAGACCTGTTATGTTACCACTTTACATCATAACCAAGTTATGTAACCACTTTACAGCATAGCCCAGTTATGTTACCACTTTACAGCATAGGCCAGTTATGTTACCACTTTACAGCATAGCCCAGTTATGTTACTACTTTACAGCATATACCTCTTATGTTACCACTTTACAGCATAGCCCAGTTATGTTACCACTTTACAGCATAGACCTCTTATGTTACCACTTTACAGCATAGCTCAGTTATGTTACCACTTTACAGCATAGACCTGTTATGTTACCACTTTATAGCATAGGAAAGTTATGTTACCACTTTATAGCATAGGCCAGTTATGTTACCACTTTATAGCATAGGCCAGTTATGTTACCACTTTATTATTATTATTATTATTATATACCACATTTCTATAGCACTCTTTTCATAAATAATAAATGTTCAAGAGTGCTTTACATAAATCCGATAAAACATAATCATATATATATATAAGACATAATGTACAACATTAATTAAGTAAACCTATTAAACAATAATGATAATCTAAAACCAGTAAAGGATGGTAAGAAATACAGACACATTTAGTTTAAAATCAAGGCACAATTAAAATTAACACTGATAATATAGCAAAAGTAGTACATGTATGATGATTTATGAACTAACGTCCATAGAACTTTATGAAATAATGTGTTTTGAGAGCTCTCTTAAAACATGGCAAGGTATTACAGTCTCTAACGTCAGGTGGTAACATGTTCCATAATTTCGCTGCGGCTGTCTGGAAGCACCTGTCACCATATCGTACTGTCCGAGATTTAGGCACAACTAATGTCATTGAGTTATTCTGGGACCTCAGATTTCAGACTGGGATGTACACGTCTATCATGTCTTTTATATAGGCTGGTGATTGATCGATGAGGGATTTATATGTATAAGTCAAAATTTTATGTTCGACCCGATACTCTACCGGAAGCCAGTGAAGTTCACGTAAGATAGGTGTTATGTGGTCATATTTGAGTGTTTTGGTCACAATTCTAGCTGCTTTATTTTGAACATGTTGTAACTTGGTCATTGACTGCTTAGAGACTCCATATAACAGTGCATTACAGTAGTCTAACCTAGAAGTAACAAGTGAATTTACTAGAGATTTGGTTGCTTTAACAGTAAGATAGGGTCTGATGTGACCGATTTGTCTTAATTGTGCATAACAGTTCCTACAGACATTATTTACATGTTGTTCCATCCTCATGTTCGAGTCAAGAAATGCACCAAGATTGCGCACACTAGATGATTGGCTAATTTTCGAACCGTCGACTGTTACTGTAACATCTGAAACAGGTTGTGCGTTATGTTCAGATGAGAAGATGATCAACTCTGTTTTATCGCCGCATACTTTACAGCATAGACCTGTTATGTTACCACTTTACAGCATAGACCTGTTATGTAACCACTTTACAGCATAGACCAGTTATGTTACCACTTTACAGCATAGACCAGTTATGTTACCACTTTACAGCATAGCCCAGTTATGTTACCACTTTACAGCATAGACCTGTTATTTTACCACTTTACAGGATAAGCCAGTTATATTACCACTTTACAGCATAGGCCAGTTATTATAACTACCAAACAAAAAAGCCCAGTCGCCACACAACATAACACTTCTATGACTGACTGCCAACCTACATGGCACTGTGTTATTCTTTCAAAACCACATACACTTTCATTTTAATATCAAACACAGCTACTTGTGACTGCCAGTGCTACTGTAACAAGTCATAATTTGAACATGAGCTATGTAAAAATAACTACATGATCTATTATTTCTAAAACTGTAAAACATTGTGTACTCATGTTTTTGAAGCAGTATTCAGTTTCACTTTCTATGTTCATTACTTTGCAGCATTCTGCTATATGATTTATGTTTTTAATTTCTTTTGAAGTTTCGAAATAAAATCATAAGTAAACAGAACTACCTGTATTGTACTTGAATTTTGTTTGATTTACAAGAAACATGTAAATCATATTGAATAATCTTAATCACATAGAAGATCAATGTCAATATAAATATCAAAATATCAATTAAATATAGTAAAATATTGTAACACTTGTTTTACGTAAATCATAATAAGTCTGTAAGAAATATGTCCCCAATTTTGAGTGTGTTTTAGTTTTGAGCTCAAATGCGCAATAATGTAACCATGAAGGCTGGTAATTACAGAATATTTGAAAGGTGAATGATATGTTGAACAACATTGAGCATGTTTTACATCACATGAGCGGGGAAGTAATTTTCCTGCCGTCATTTGGTTTATTGACGTCAGTTTTACATCATATGACTTGTAAGCATTATGTTTTTATGCTGTGCACAACACAAAGTTAACTTATTATGTAATAATGCACTAAGGCAATCATGTTAAAAGTATTTGAAAGATCATTACAAATTGTTTATATTAAGTTTTGTACTATTATTTGTGAAATGTATGTCATGTAGATTAAAATGATTTGTATATAAATAGATATTAATTTTAAGTGCATTGTAGTAGAATTAGACATAGTGCATTATATTACCATTCTAACTGAATTGATAAAGATATGCTGAACTACATTAAGCATAGAAGTGATTTGGTTTATTTATGTCATACAATGTGTAAGCATTTTTTATGCCATACATTATCATCATGTTATAATGCACATGTTTGAATGGGGGAATAATGTAAAGCATGTTAGATGTTGGTACAACTATGAAGTATCCATTGTTTTTGTTTAATGATGATAATAATGTTCATGTTGTGTTGCCATTGTAGTGTGGTATTTAAAGTGTATTTTGTGTCATCTACTAAGTTAAATAGGAAGAGCATGTGTTGGTTACTAAGTTAACATTGTGAACATGTTGTGTTGTTTCCAAAGTTGACATTTTGTTGATCAACAAATATATTGTGTTCTTTATTATGTTAATATTGTGTTAGTCAAAGAACATGTTGTGTTGTTCTCCCTTTAAATGTCATTAGTAATAATGATTTGTCTATTCCACCAGAATGGAGTCAGTCTTAGTACCTGGTTTTTCCTATATTGTTGGTTATAAAGAAAATTTGACAACTATGAATTATAATTATTTATAAGGTTTTAGATGTGTTGTGTTACAAAGTTTTATGTTGTATTGTTTTCAGGTTGTTTGGTACAACAGGATACTGTTCAGCATGTTCTAAAATGATTCCAGCATTTGAAATGGTGATGAGGGCAAAAAACAATGTCTATCATTTAGAGTGCTTTGCTTGTCAGATGTGTAATCACAGGTAACTTTCTTTGTCAGATGTTGTCAGAGGCAGGTGATTTTAGACAAACCAAATTGTTACAATATTGTCTTATCTATAAATTGGAAGAGGCAGTACAAATAAGCTTCTTATTAAAGATTTTTTATATCAATGAAAACAATTTGTCAATGATTGTTCAGGAAATTTGAGGTATACCTTAATTGTGTTGTGGTATATGTAAGGATGAGAAACGCAAATTTGATTTCTGTATTTTTGTTTAGATAATCATTTTGTTTGTATGCTTTAATAAAGTTAAAATACTGTCAGAATAAGCAATTGTCAGAATTGTTATTGACAAAAAATCCAGCCATACTTGTCAATTAAAATTTTGTTCTAGATTTGTGAGATCTTCTTAGAGTTCAGAGTTAAATAATGAACCTCTCAGATTATATTATTTCATTTATTTGATTTCTATGCACACTTACTGGTTTAATAATATTTTACATTAAAGTAGTCCCTGTATACTGTAACTAAAGCCTTTTTTTAATGAATTATGTAAGAACTGTAAATATAACAATATATTGATATGCGTTACTTTTAATAGCACAATATGTTATTTTGAAGACTTCATTTTGTCAAATTAATGATAATGTAATATAGTTTTTCTTGTATTTTCTAGGTTCTGTGTAGGAGATAAATTTTATTTGTGTGATAATAAGATACTGTGTGAATATGATTATGAAGAGAGAATGGTGTTTGCCAACATGACTTACAATTATAACGCGTTATCACAAATCAAACGCCAGACCAACAGCTTGAGTGACGATCTATCAAGTGGGTACGGAAGCCCGAGCCCAGGATCATTATAGTTAGATCTCTCATCACGGGAGTCACAGTCCCAACAATTTTTATTATCATTATTGTTAATTATAAAAGACGTGTTTTTGATGCACGAGAAATGTGTTTATATCATTTAAGAGTGTGATTACCTTTCTGTAAATGTGTAAAACATCTTGTCGAAGATGACGACTGTAGTGTTGTAGTGATGATATCATCTTTTCGTGGGGAAAAAAAAAACAACAACAAAACAACCTGCGTTCAGGATTTTCATGACTTGTATTGTTCACTATAATTATTTTGTTGATTTTTGTTGAATGCACAATTGCAGGTATTGTTTGAAGATTTGTATCATCCATTTAACAAACACATTACAATAGTGCATTACACTGTTCTATACAGTGGTACTTGAGACGTTCCATAGATTTATGAAATAAAAATTATAATTATTGAAGCATTCATCATATAAGACAGTGTTTTCTTACTTTTTTGTAATATTCCAGATTATTTTGAAAATGATAACTTTACCACACAGAAATTGTTAAAATTAGATAATGTAGAAAATCTACAAGATTATATAGGCAGACACATGTAGGAGATAGTGTAAATATTTGAGAAGAAAACTATTTAAGTTAACATAATTATTGTATATGAACTGTTCATATCTGCAAGCTTTTTCATGTTTCTTATTAGAATACTGCTTTTATCTTGTAAACAATTATGATAATTAATTTTCTCATTAATTAGCAAGCACTACACTCCTTATTTCCTGTAGTGTAACATTATTCCTTACAAATATTCAATTACACAAAGATTGTTAACTTTGCGGATTTACATTTTGTTTTGTATATTATTTCAACTGGTATTACTAGTTGATGCATTCTCAGAGTTAAAATAGTGTTGAGCTGCATCTAGAAAACCATGTTGTCTGCTATAGAATTAATTTAAAGTATTTCAAAATCTAAATCAAAATTGACATGTGACCATGCCAGTATTTAACATTTTTATTTGGCTATAGGGGGCTCTGTAGTTAAGTGGTTCTTGTCCCTTGTCACTTTGCTCACTACTAATAGTTCCTAATCCTACAAGTAACTTTTGATTCTTTCATTTGAGGAGTCTATCCACCTAGGTTACAGAAGGTTGACGGTTGTACTCAGGGTGTTCTCTTGTACCTGAGATAAATGTTTGGTAGGACACCTGAAGTCTTCCTCAACCAGTGCTACGTAAAATTTAATAATAATTGTGCTCCTCAAAAAGTAATATCCAGCTCTCTTTGTGTTTACTGCAGACATAGGGAAAGGGAACTGTGATATTAAAATTTTTGAATCTGTCATGTTCTTTTTGAACATATTTTGAATTTTTAGGGCTCAATATTGAAATATCAGATTTAATGTGCACAGAATGATACATTACTTGACAACTTTTTCTGCTCTCTTTGTTTTAAGTATACTTTAAAGAATAATGTTGAATAATATAAAGATGAATGATATATGAATTGATTATATGTTCACATATAATATGTGGGTGAAATATGTGTTCTGTGTTAATGAATAACATAATTAATATCTGTTGATGTATTTGTACATAACTTGTTAGGTATAGTCGGTGACTGAAATAATGTATTGTTCATTTGTAAATAATGCACATGAATTTTATTATATTTTAATGATATTGTTAGTAAATTTTTTATCACAGCTTCATTGTAAAAGACATTTAATGATGTATTAATATATTTTCAGTACATCACCATTATATCATGTTCTTTGGTTGCAAGTGACAACTATCCATTTACTTATCCTACCAGTATATAATAAGTTCCAAACATTAATTACTAACATCTTTAAGTTATAGACATCAGACCAGGAACCATGGGTTTCCCTACACAGGTCATGGCCACGTTACATGATATAGCACAAGTACTGGTTAGTTTCAGGAACCAGACTCAAAATTGGTCAAAGTCTTCAAATTTTCGTCTCCATAAATTAATGTTTATAAATGAATTTAATTTACATAATTCAGATATAAAGCCCCTCATGTTAACAATGGAAAGTTCCAAATTCACATAAAGTTATGACAATGGTTATGTCAGCCATGATTAATTTATGGAGAATATTCATGTCTGTTTTATTTGGGTTGGTGAGTTGTTTTTAATTAGAATGACCATGTATGAACTTGTTTTTGATGCACCTTGTTTTTGTGGGTTTTTCAGAAGCATTTTGATATCAAAGAAAACATTAAAACTTAATTTGAAATTTCAGTAATTACAAAATATATTTCAATTACTTAGCCAGTAAAACATGCTACCCTATACAAAATAATACAGATAATTCCAAACATAAGTGTGTTTTTTTTTTTTTTTTTTTAAGAAACTAACTAACTTGAAAGAATCACAATATTTAATATAATTATGAATCTAGGTCATCCAGAGGTTACATTACTGTTATGAGGTTGATGGGTCAAGTGGCTGAGAGGTGAAGGTCATAAACTTTCCGCTGTATTTTATTTAATTATTTAATCCCCTCAAAAAAGGTCTGACATTCCAAATTTAGGAATCTTTAAGGCACATCTGAATTACGTAATGTTTGTTACTTTTTATGATTTTACATTTTATTAATAAGCAAATAATTTGATTAATGCTTTTTTTCCGTCATTGTTAACTTTATTACTTGCTGTTTTAGTTAATAATATAAGTTTCTGGTTTCACTGTTGCATTTTATTAATCATTACATACAATAGACAATACAATATTCATATTTTCATCTACAAACTTTGAAATGTATATCAAAAAATAGATAAAAAACAGTCTCGAGTTAAAACTAGTCTATTGGTCAATTTTCAAGCTCAGCTTGAGATTAACCAATCAAATGGCAGTGTTTTAAACCTGCCTCTCAAATGTTAAGATATATATAGGTCGTATTTATATATAGATTATGTGTGCTATAGTTTATAACTGGAGAATTATTATTTATTGTACATTATTGCAATATTACTGCATTGTTGACATGATGATATTTATTGTGCTATGAGGGAAGAAGGATATTTATAATGAATTAAAAAAATGTAATTTCCGGTATTATCAGTGTTCACAATTTGATATTACATAGGGAACTAGATTGATGTGAAATCCATAATTGTTATTACATTTTCATGAAAGCATACTTTATTAGAAAAAAATTGTCTCTTTCATTTCTAACTGGAATCATTTTCATTTCACATATTATGATTTTTTGATTGTTTATTCAACAAATCATTCTTTGGCAATATTGGCCTGCTATTTTCTCTCTAATCATTCCTCATATTAAATTGCTTATAATATTAAACTGAAACTGATATTTTAGGAGGGGGGGGGGGGTGCAGTGTGCAAAAAAAAAAAAAAACCTCTACATGAAATAACTAATTTAAAAGTAAAGTAAATTATTCTAATATGTTAATAAGAATTAAGTACAGTATCAGAAAAGTTTGTGGCTTTAACTTTTAACCAGGCACCTGCATGTTTCTGATATGGTGTCTGTCATCTCTTATAAGGCTCGGCAAAGACATCATATGTTACTGTACTTCACTGGAAACATGCCTATTTAGTTGAAGAAAGATAACTCTTCCTACATCTTTGTGCATTAATAGTAATTACCTCCCCTCTTTATTAACATGCAATGAAGCAGTTACTGTCTTAATTAATTTGACTTCAAATTGCATTGTATTATATAACTAATAATAATAATATTAATAATAATAATAATATAAAAGCTATAATAAATAATGCTAATAATAATAATGATGATAATGAAAATAATAACTATAGTCGTTAATACATTAGCTGTTTGGCATTTGGACAGAGTTGAGATGGGGGGTTCAGGAGAAATTAACTATTTAAAAGTGACTATGAAAGCATTTAACCTTGATGACTGTTATCGTACATTTATCTTTACTAATCTTTACTGTTTTAATAAAATCTCGAAAGATTTATATTTTTAATACTAATGTAGTGTCTTTTAACATCAAATTATTTTTTCCCCCAAGATGTAGAATATTAATATCCTATTTGATGATATTAAATGAGTTTCTATAGACATAGTTATGTAATGTAAAGTTTTATGATATATTTCCTTTATAAAATTGTAATTTTTAAGTTTTATTACATATTATTTAAGGAATGTAGGCTTAAAACAATACTTTAATTTATTTTCCCCTTCTTATTCAAAGTATAAAACATAGCATTTTTATTGATAGAAATTTATTATTTTTCCAGGGTTTAATGAAAATCAAGCCTTTCTTTTATGTAAAGTTGATATCAATGGCCTTTAGTAGGAGGAATCACAATAAAATATGAATAAATGTGTATTTAAGTCTTCTGTTGTAATGCATGGAATTGCGAAGAGCTTAAAAATAAATAAATTTCAAAATATGCTCAGCACACAGATTTACTTCCCATTTTGCTAGAACACTTAAAGTTGATACTTGTTCAAAAAAGATGAATTTCGAAAAAAGATGAAATTTGAAAACAATGTGTTCTTTTAGTTTTTTGTTTTTTTTAAGTTTGTTTTTTTAGATTCCCAGAAATAATCTTGATAAAATGTTCAAGCTTTTACAAGATCTTGATCAGTATCAATAATGTAAGAAATATGTGAATGTACCAAGTTTTATAGCAATCTGTCAAGTACAACATCTCTAAGTTCTGAGATATATTTTCGTTATTTATTGTTATATTAATAAAAAGGGATAACATATTTTCGTCTATTCAGAAAACAAGCTATGTATCAGAAGACATAATCTCCATAGAAATCAAAGATATTTTGTTATTTACATGTAATTTATCCTGCTTAAATGTTATATATCACATTATATTATATATAAAACAGGTGAAATTGTCTGTGGATTTCTTTTTTTGTGAAAACATTTTTTTTTTTTTTTTTGGGGGGGGGGGGGGGGGGGGGGGTCATTTATGTGATCACATAAATGTATTGGGAGAGCCATTATCCACTAATTGTTACTTTCAATAATTTCAGATTACAAAATTATAGAATTAAGCAAACGATAGTCTGCCATTATTCACTTAAATACTTATTGTGTAAACTCTTAGCCTGCCAGCAGACGACTGAATCTACCCGTGTGGCCAGTGCAAACCAATATAAGCCGACACAGCCATGCAGTCTGGTCATGGTCTGCACTGTTAGCTGTTCATTCACTCAGTTTTTGTTTTGAAATTTCCATAGTTTTTTGTCTAAATTGAAAGATGGACAAGTCCATTTAAGGTATTCAGTATTCAATATATTTCATTTGAACACACTTCATTTTACATTTTACACAGGCTGAGCACTCAGGAGCATAACTTTAACATTATAATGAACAGAATAATGAAAAAGAATGTTTACATGACTGTATGATGTCAGATGTGATGTCATCAGAGTAAAATTATGATGTCATGAAAATTATTTCTCGGCTCAATTATTTCAAATTTGTTGTCAGTCTGCAATTACAGTAAAGTAATATGTGAGTCTACAATACTTTTACATTAGCATAATAGATCAACTAGTTCAATAATGTTGCATACATCTATCTGTGTTATTCAACTATACATTAGTAATTTCATTTTTAGCTCACCTGTCACAAAGTGACAGGGTGAGCTTTTGTGATCGCTTTTCGTCCGGCGTCCGTCGTCCGTCGTCCGTCGTCCGTCGTCCGTAAACTTTTACTTTAAATGACATCTCCTCATAAACCACAAGGCCAATTTCATCCAAACTTCACAGGAATGTTCCTTTGGTGGTCACCTTTAAAAATTGTTCAAAGAATTTAATTCCATGCAGAACTCTGGTTGCCATGGCAACCGAAAGAAAAAACTTTAAATATCTTCTTTTAAAAAACCATAAGAGCTAGAGCTTAGATATTTGGCATGAAACATCTTCTAGTGAGTGTCTACCAAGTTTGTTCAAATAAAAGCCCTGGGGTCAAAATTGACCCCGCCCCGGGGGGTCATTGATTTTCCCTATATGCATATAGTAAAAACTTAAAAAATCTTCTTTTAAAGAACTCAAAGAGCTATGGCTAAGATATTGAGCATCAAACATGTTCTAATAGGTGTCTACCAAGTTTGTTCAAAGAAAAGCCCTGGGGTCAAAATTGGCCCCGCCCCAGGGGGTCATTGATTTTCCCTATATGCATATAGTAAAAACTTAAAAAATCTTCTTATAAAGAACCAAAAGAGTTAGAGCTAAGATATTTAGCATGAAACATGTTCTAATAAGTGTCTACCAAGTTTGTTCAAATAAAAGCCCTGGGGTCAAAATTGACCCCGCCCCGGGGGGTCATTGATTTTCAATATATATGCATATAGTAAAAACTTATAAAATCATCTTTTAAAGAACTCAAAGAGCTATGGTTAAGATATTTAGCATCAAACATGTTCTAATAGGTGTCTACCAAGTTTGTTCAAATAAAAGACCTGGGGTCAAAATTGGCCCCGCCCCGGGGGGGTCATTGATTTTCCTTATATGTGTATAGCAAAAACTTAAAAAATCTTTTTTGAAAAAACCCAAATAGCTAGAGTTAAGATATTAAGCATGAAACATCTTTTAGTGAGTGTCTACCAAGTTTGTTCAAATAAAAGACCTGGGGTCAAAATTGGCCCCGCCCCGGGGTCATTGATTTTCCTTATATGTGTATAGCAAAAACTTAAAATCTTCTTTGAAAAAACCCAAATAGCTAGAGTTTAGATATTAAGCATGAAACATATTCTAGTAAGTGTCTACAAAGTTTGTTCAAATAAAAACCCTGGGGTCATAACTGGCCCGGCCCCAGGGGTGTCATTGTTTTTAACTATATGTGTATAGTAAAAACTTTAAAAAAATCTTCTTTTAAATAGCCCAATGAGCTAGAGCTTAGATGTTTAGCATGAAACATCTTCTTATGGGTGTCTACCAAGTTTGTGCAAATAAAAGCCCTTTGGTTAAATTGGCCCTGCAACGTTGAGTGGGGGGGGTGGGGGTTGGGGGGGCCTATATACAGGTGAGCGACCTCAGGGCCATCATGGCCCTCTTTTTTTTCAAGTAATTTTCTGTGTTATAGACCATTTTGTTATATCTGAAATGATTTATTGATTTTGTATATTGATATATTTATTCGTTATTTCTACTTAATATATATTTGAATTAGAGCACAGACAAAACATTTTGTTTGATTAATTATGATTTATTTGGTATAATTTTAATATATTTGTAGCTTCAGTCCTGATTCTGTCCAAATTTTATTCTTCCATAGTTTTGGTAATTTAAACAGATAAATGTAATACCTGTATTAAAGAATATGAAAGATGTAACCAGTACTACAGCTGATTTATTCTTCTTCATGAGTTTCTTACAATTTTAGTCCTTGTGGTCTGAAAAATCTTGTTCTTGGTTTTTGAATTCTCTAAAATTTGTATTTCAAAAAAATAAAAATGAATAAATTAATTAAAAGATGGGGGACCTGAATGTAATGTATTTTTTGGTTTACCAGCCATATGTCAAGTTGAATTTAATTTATCAACAATTTTTGGACCGATATTATATTAACTATTAAAGTTTTTGTCATTGGAAAGTGTGACAATTTTGGGATCTGTACTGGTACTATAGCTACACTTGTTTGACATTTAAATGAACCAGGAAGAATGTTGATGTTCAAATTGTGATATTTTATGACATCCACAAGGACTAGAAATGTCAGATGCTACTCATATTGAGTGATAGCATATCAGTTAAATAGGATGATGTTTAATGAAAACATTGAGAGCTTTCAAAGGAAAAGCCAAAGTTCTAGTCATTTATTTATTTTTAAGTTGTTTCTAATGGTGATTATTTGAAATCCATCACAAATGTTTTTTTCTTCAATATTGTATTATTTTAGTAAAACATGTTTCGTCATTTTTTTCTTGTATCAGATACTTTACCTAATTAAATGAATATACTGATTATTGATATGAAATAAGATGTTAAATAAATTGTGTCCTACATAAATTGTTATATCATAATTGTAATATAGATGTATGAAATTAATGTTAATGATATAAAATGCTTACTGCGTCAATTTTATTTCTTAAAAAAGGGGGTAAATTCACTTAAATTTCTAAATTGAAAAGAGGAGAAAATGTCACTTGCCAATGAAATGTGATTCATGAATGCTGAGATTAAGATAAAATATAAAGTTTACTTCCAATGATCTCACAAATTCTGAAGAAATCCTGTCCTGTCTTAAAGGTTAAGTTTGACACATGTGCATATATAATTCATACAGTATGCTATGTATATTGTAAAATTGCAAATGTTAACATTACATACGATAACATGTAAGCACCTAGCTCACCTTCTCTGTTTCACGTCAGACTCAAAGATTTAATTTTCCTGTTT